GCATCCCTTGCCAAGTTCAGCTCCAGCCTCATCTTGGCTTTCCTGACCCCATCCCACCACAACAGGGCAGCGTCCCCGTACTCTTCCAAGGTACCTCTCCCTGCTTCCACTGCCTGTGCATTTCCTTCTTGCCCTTTAGTTTGACCAGCCAGTCTTGACTCAGCCATGACAGTCTCTTGCCTTCCTTTCCTGATTTCATACACCTGAGGTTCAAGAGCTCTTGTGCTCTATGGAAAGCATCCTTAAAGATCTGCCAGCTCTGTTCTGGTCCCTTGTCCTGGAGGACAGTTTCTCAGGTGGTCCTATTGACTAAATTCCTGAAGAGCTGGAAGTTTGCCTTCCTAAAAGCCAGTCTTGACTCAGCCATGACAGTCTCTTGCCTTCCTTTCCTGATTTCATACACCTGAGGTTCAAGAGCTCTTGTGCTCTATGGAAAGCATCCTTAAAGATCTGCCAGCTCTGTTCTGGTCCCTTGTCCTGGAGGACAGTTTCTCAGGTGGTCCTATTGACTAAATTCCTGAAGAGCTGGAAGTTTGCCTTCCTAAAATTCAGGGTCCTGACTTTACTCTTTGCCTGCCCCATATCCCTCAGGACTGCAAACTCTACCAGTGCATGATCAGCCCAGGCTGCCTCCAATCTTGACGTCACCAGTTAGCTCACATGCATTGGTGACCAACAGGTCCAGTATCGCATCCTCTCTGGTAGGGCTGTCTATTACCTGGTGCAGGAAGTTATCCTCCATGCACTCCAGGAGTCTCCTGGATTGCTTACTCAGAGCAACAGGCTGAGAATCCTTGCTAGCACTTTGTCCCTCTAACCTTGGCATGTCGTCCCGTGGCTTGTCATGGGCAAGCCTGGTATTATTCCATTCCCCCTTCAAGTCTAGTTAAAACCCCTGTCAATGAGCCCCAATAGCTTGTGAGCAAAGACCCTCTTCCCCCTTTGAAAAAGGTAAATCCAATCTGATGTCAGCAAGCCAGGTGCCGTGTAGGCCATCCCATTATCAAAAAACCTGAAACTAGCAGTGACACCAGTCAATGCAGACATGTATTAATAGACTGGACCCACGTGTTTTTCCCTGTGTCACTGCCCTCAACTGGAAAGAGAGAGGAGAAAATAACCTGTTCTCCAGATTCCCTTACCAATCATCCCAAGGCCCTGAAGCCTCTTTGGATAGCCCTTGGACTACACGTTGCAGCTTCATCACCACCCACATGGAAGAGCACTAGTGGGTAACAATCCAAGGGCTGCATGAGGCTAGGAACTTTCCTAGTAATGTCCTTAACCCAGGCCCCAGGGAGGCAGCGGACTTCCCTAAGAGAAGGGTCTGTTTGGCATATTGATTCAGGCGATTAAGAATCACTGGGTCTCATCCTTTCACTGTATCTTTGTCCAGACATATACATTTTACTCTTAAGTTTATCCAAAGACATTTTAAGAACGGAATTAAAGACGGATACATCTTACATGATTTTTTTCCTAATATGCTTGTGTATAATCTTAAAATAGGAGATGAAATAACAATTGGTCACCATACCATTCCAAATAGACCTGAGAATGAAGAAAAATATCAATTCCTACTTTAAGCAATTTGAAGCCTTCGTAGTGTACATTCCAGTACATCACTTGGTATCCATATTATCAGAGTTCTTGTACTATCTCACTTTTCAGAGATCTGCAATTGTTTTCTATTGTTCAGTTAATATTGTTCTTTATACTCTCCCACAAATACTTATTATGAGTGGCAAAGTATAATACAATATAAAATTTTAATAATATCTTTGATGATCTTCATACTCACATTAGGTTAGCTAGGAATGAGCCTTTGCATAACTGATAACTACGCTCCATTTCCCACCAGCCAGGAAATACGAAATTTTGTCAATCAGAGAAGTCAGAATATGGATATATCAAAACAGAGCAAAAAATTGCCTTTTTTCTGAATTGGAACCTCTAATCAATCACCTCTCAGGTACGAAAAAAAAATAAAATCCAAACAATTCCATATGCCAGACCTGGAAAAAACATGTTAGTCCACCATGTCATGTTAACAGCCAGATTCTACCACCCTTAGCTTTACACTGCAAGAAGTTTATTTGTGGAGTTAAGAATGCCAAAATGCAACCGTATTTAAATATATATAACTAAAAATTTAAACTGAAGTACTTCAATTCTTAAAGCCTAAGCCAAAAGCAGCTTGAAAGTAGTCCAAGACTATATAGTCAAGACTTAATTGTTGATGTTTTGTCAATGACAGTGGAAACATTCTGGATCCAGTGCCATGTGATGTTTTCAGTAGATGATTACAGAAACAAAAATCTTTAAAATGGGAATGAATTATAACACATCAATGTCCATATATGTAATACTTTAAAAGTCCTTATGTGGGACAGATGGCATCAAAATTACATATATTTTGCCATTAAACTACTACCATTGTTACCTGGTATTTTGGTAATTGAACACAAATAAGCTCGCAGATTGATTAAATAACAGCCCCATTTTGGAAGCAGTAATGCACAATAAATTTACACAAACCAACACAAAGTATCTATGCAGAGCACAAAGATACACAATTGTGTAAAACACAAAACACCTACCTCACCAAGTCTTTATATAAAGCTTTTGTAGTTTCTAAGTATGGGCCAACTACATCTTCAAACTGGCAAAGAGCTCCTCCAATGCAAAGATGCTTAAAAAGACAGAACAGAAATTCCTTGCGATCCAATTGACTAAATAAGTCGTAATGGTCTGAATCTTCCAGAAGCAAGACCTTGTGAAACAAGAAAATAACAAAGAAGTCAAATAGACAAAAATTTCTTATTTGAGATTAAGTTTATAAACAATGCAGCTAATTTGCTGTGTGCCCCACAGAGTTTACATTAACATTTACATAAAATATATGAACTAGGGGTGAAAATGAATAAGCAATTCTCTCTAAATCCTTCTTCCAATGAAGCAATTATGTTCAAAATTTATAGATACAATATAAAGCAGAATCACTGTCAGATTTGTGTCCACAAGACATAAGGAAAGATTTTTCAAGAGTCTTCCCTGGTTAATTGTCCATCACGTTAATGAAACAATCAATAATCTGAAAATAATCTAGCTACATTTGGTATGTTGACCACTGCCAATTAGTTTGTCTTTGGTAACTTAGCCTACATTTGCTTTTCTACTCTAAGTTTACACAGTTGTCTCACATTTGTAAAGGAATCCCAAGGATCTCCCAGAGGGGATCACTCAAACTTACACCATTTTTTACTGCAGATTCTAGTAAGCCTTTATCTGTAGCCTGGATAAGCCAGACATGCTATCCAGGTGCCTCCATGTGTCTCACCTGCCTTTTGCTGCAATATTATGTGAACACAGAGGACTTGCTAAATTAGTCCCAACACTGCGCACTGTAAGGGTGGACAGAAATTGTATGGTTACAAGATGTCTGAGTCACATCAGCCAAAATGCAGATGCCAACCCAGGCAAACTGGTCAAAGCCAGACATGAGCTTACCACTCTCTGGCTCTCTCTATCGCTACACAACCTGAGTAAAAAAGGGTCTGGGCAGTAACTGTTGTTGATGGCCACCTCGTACATATCCCAATGCACTTCTTGGTTGAAGCCAGAGAAGATGTGGCAGGTAGGAAAGAAACATGGAGTTTTGCAGCTGAGGGCCACCTTCTGGCACCAGGAGATAGACAGTTTGCTGCCCCCTACAGTCTACTGTCCCAGGGCGCTGACTAGTTCAATCTGAAGCTTTAATGTCATCCCTGGAAGATTTTGACTCTTAATTCTTTCTGCCATCTTAGGCCTTACAAGTAGGAATCACGTTCATTTCAAACATATGTGAATCCTTCAACATGCAGCTTGCAGGCACACACATCCCTTCCAAGGGAAGGAAAATGGAAAGAGACTGAAACTCCAATGATGTCTTATTTTAAATGTTGCCTCTAACTTTTCTGCATTCGATATACTTAATTTTCAGAAAACATTTCACACATGCCCAACTTAAAAACAAATACACAGTATTTTGAACTGCTAGGCTACAAACCACATCTGAAATTCAAACATGAGCTTGAGTCCTCTCCTTTTCCCAGAACTTTACAAGACAGACCAGTATTTCAGGCCACATCCTGTAACCAGTGTCACTGGTTCAAACACACTGCCTTCAAAGGATTCGCCAAGTGCAAATGAGTGCAACTCTATAATTATTAAGTACTTATGATGATTATATATACAAGGAAGAGCAAAATCCAGTTCTCCCACACTATGCTTTGCTAATGCTAAACAAACACAAGTAAAAAAAAATTGGTTTAGCTTATGAAGTCAAAAGAAACACTTACAGTGAAGACATAAAAGTTGATTAAGAAGGTGCCACTGTTAGAGAGATTCTTTTTCAGAATAATCTGCTCTGTAACACCTCCACTGGAGTATAACAAATAGTTTTTATCTTGCAGGCCTGTTCAGGAGTTATATTTAGTCCTTTTCCAGTGTTACACTGAAAAATAGTTTCCCTTTTCACAGTTTCCTTTCCTTTGTTTCAGTGAAAATATATGAAGATGCCTTTCCTTAAATGCCTTCGCATATGATAAGGTCAACATTTCTGGCCAGGAATGCTTCAGGATGTAGCTATTGAGTACATTCAATTTCATCAACTACCTGGAAGGTTGGGTGAACCCACAGCTCTGGGTATCATGGCAACTTTCCATTAGCACCACTTGTTTTCCCCTCCTAGGCAAATGAGTAGCTGCATTTCCCCCCATACTTCCGACCCAAGCACTGACTACCTGAGACAAGGGTGGGCAGAAGAAGGTTCTACCTTCTTCTCCCACCCAAAAAGGAAAGAGGGCCCACCTAGAAAACAGCCATTGCTTTCACACATTCAGGCACTGCAGTGCTTCAGTCATTTCTATCACGTGGCTATCAATGCCCATTTTTACCATGGAAAGTATGTATTGTCAGGAAAAAAAAATCTGAAAATTGTGCCCTTACAGTACCTAATAGAGTATGAAAAAGTATAAGAAATTATTAATTGCTATACTGACCTTCCTTAATTCATCAGAGATGAGAATATCATCGTAATAGTCATCATAACATTTCACAATATCTCCAGTTTCTCTAACAATTCCTTCAGAGTATAGCCGATCAAAAAATGACATGGAAATCTGTGTACAGGGTACCACCATAGCTTCAATTTTTGTCACTTTGGAATCTGGAATACATAGAAAGGCTTCACTCCATATCTCTTACAATAAATAAAATAGGAGGAATTCCATGTACTAATGGTTTTACAGTAATTTGTAATTCCATACAGTGTGGAAATAATCAACTTCTCTAAATGGTTGTGTGTGGCATATTCTTTAAAAAAATACAGATCACATAAGTATGACTCAATCATGCAGTCCCTCAAAAAACAAAGAAAGCTAAGAAAGAAACAAGTGTAAGGAAAACATTAAATTCATCTGAATGCTACCTTCCAGTAAGGCTCATGTGTATGCTCCCCCTGTTGGCAATACTATCAACTAAAACAAGTAACAGATGAAACACCATGTAAACTCAACATCACATTAGACCAAATCCTTAGAAAATCATATTCCACAGATTAAGCCTTAAAGAACCTGAGGACAAATACCACCAAACTTGGTGTGATGAAATCAGTAGCTGCTAACAGCACCCCACAAAGTAAAAGACAAAACAAACACAGTCCTGATGAATTTTTGGCTGGTTAAGTATTATATCTGAACTTTTTGAAAAGTTATTCTGTAGCTACTGTAAGCTTTGTTAACCAGCTATTTCAGAAGATGAAAAAGGTACCATCAGCACTTCCTGTATGAATCAGGACTCTTATCTCTGTAATCATTAAGTGCAGAGTACATTTTTCTATAATTTTTCAGTGCTTGCAAGTCATCCAAGGCTTGATCCTGTTGCTCACAGACATCTAGTGCCATTTGAGATGCTCTACAGTATTTTCCTTAATGAGGTATCAGTCCATAAGGGCACATATCTTCTCTATATACAGTGTTACATCTACAAATCTGTATGCATGGTGCTAGATAACTTATGGCACCTCAAATGGCACTAGACTCCATGTTTAAGAAGCTTTGGACTCAGTCCAGTTCCATCTGCTCTCTACAGTCCACGTGTTCAGACCAAATGTTAAAACATATCCTCTACTCATCTCCAAATCGCCCTTAACATCCTTCAAAGTGCTTCTCAGTGCAAGAGGGAAGAGAGCATGCATGAGCGTGAGCAAAAGTGAGCATGCAACACAAGGGCAATGAGTCTTGGCAGAGCTAATATTCACAGCATTCCATCTTTCCATGACTTTACTCTCATCTTTTCTCCTCTGTAGGTTCCCTTGATGGGAGATGGGTCAACAACATCAGAATATTAAAAGGCTTTTGACCATAAAATTAAAGATAAAATTAAGTGGTGTCCTGACAAGCTGACCTAAAGGATCACTAAAGACTAGTTTTTAGGAAATGTCAAAATTTCGCTCTGGATGACAGTATTTCAGTAACAGAAATGTGCGAAAAAGGTATGTATGAACCATGATGCTTCCAAGAGCACCGAGCAAGCGTAGAATAGCCTAAAATTTCTCTTGTCCCCAAAAGGGACACTTCCAAAAAGTCCTTGGGATTTCTCCCATATTTTATTACATGGAGATTATTTATTCATAGGTTAAGCAGGACTGGCATTTTGCTATCTAAACCCTGCACCACCTATCTCAACAACACTAAGAAAAAAATTAAAGAGAAGTTACAAGTTGATGGCTTGAAAATGTGTCTACTTAAGCTAAAAATACTGGCATGAAACTTTATAATTATTTTATTGGGCCAATGTGATGTAAAGAAAATTGGCTATAGAGAAAAGCTCGGCATTTAATTCCTTAGCTTCACATCTACAGTGTGTAGTATACCTTTTATTAAAAAAAAAGGTTAGGACATTCTCCTACCTGTCCACATACTGACTATTAAAAAATAATCAAATTATGTAACCAAATCACAAGTCAAAAAAAACATGACTTACAGCCTCACAACCTAAGAACAAAGGGATACTTATTTATTTATTTATTTATGCTTCCTCCCTCCCTCCCTTCCTTCCTTCCACCTCACCTCCAGACTCCTCTAACTTCTAGTCCTCCAGCTTCCTTTCACAAGGATAGAATTTTTATTTTATAAAAGAATTAATAAGAGGTAAATCAACCCCTAACATAGAAATTATTTTGCAAAGACCTATTAATCAAAAACTGAACTAAGACTAATAAAAATCAGATGTTAAATGACTTGAGAAAGAAAAGAAGTCTTACATTTTCCCAGTTATCGAGCTCAAAGTATACGAAATTGAGCTATTTATAGGCCTTCAAATTATTAGGATTTTGTTGGGGGAGGGGAAGGAAAGAGACATACTTGTGCTCTGAAACAAGATTTTGTGAAAACTTTCATCAGGGGAAAAAAAAAAAATCAAGAGCTTTGTAATCTATTCAGTAGTTCAGAAAACCAAACTATAAATGGGAAAGCTTAAATATACTGGAAGCTCCTATTCTCCATTTGAGAGGTGAGATTTGAAATTGGAGATTCAGAATTTCCTGGAAAAGAGTGACCAGTTTTAATAACACTGTAAAAGTGAGCAATAAAATACAAAGAAGAAATGCCTTGACAACTCTGCAAGTGGAAAACAAAGAGCTGAGAAGTACTGAAGCAGATTAAGCTTCTTATAACATGTAGCTCTGGAATATCTATACAGTGCTGCCAATATACTTTTAAATGAACATGTTGAATATCTAGTATGGGGCAGATAAACCCCTGATTGGGTATATTTAGAATTCCTCCCAAGCTTAAGAAAGATTTTTACCTCAGGGAAACCTCTTGCAACTTACTACTTACAAACCAGTTTCTATAGAACATACACAATGCAAATTCACTAAAAAGGTGGTATTTCAAAAGTAAAAGGTGCAGGTTGATGATTTATAGGTTCAAATGACATCTAAAATTTTTGCAAATGATAAGCTATAATAGTAGTCTAAAAAATTGCTGATTTAAGATTACCTTCCAGATTTCAAAACCCCATTCCAAAGACAGCAATCATTAGAGCTTTAAGTACAGACAGCAAGTCAAGAATCTTTCTTAGGCAAATACTAAATTTTTATTTACACAAAAGACAGTAACCCTGTCCCTTTGAAGATAACTTTTCAAGTGTTAATTGAGCTTAAGCAGATCCAGTCCTGCCTCCCCAAGACTGCTGACAGGTGGAAGGCCAGTCATGTGTCCAAGGAAAAACTACTATTTATTTTTCATTGCAGCTATTTAAAAATACAAGACTCAAGACCTAAGTCGGTACGCATCAAATTTGTTCCTCTTGCTGCTTCTATTTTAGAAATATGAGAGTAACAGATGAAGGGGGGGCTTAACGCACATGACAGAACTCTCAGGTACTCTGCCATGCAGCCAGGAAGAGAGGAAAAATATCCCTACAACAACAGGCAAAAAATTGTGACATGAGAATAGGTAATTAAGTATCTGTCTGACCAGATGAAGCAGACTAGAGTGTATGTGTGTGTATTGTTTACATAAAATGTTAAATTTCAAGTAAAGTTAAAGCTGGAGTCCTTGAGACAATGTTACTATTGTGGGATTCTCCCAGGAATCCCAACAGGTGGGGAAGCTAGGGAGAGAGGTACATGTTGCATTCCTTGGGGACCCCATGTTTTATGCCACCTTTTCATCTAACAGATGGAGACGGAGGATATTAAGGTCTGGTAATATTAAGGTGAGGATGAAAAGTAGTCAAGAGAAATAAAAAATGACATTAGACACAGGGAAAAAAAAGTAATGAAGAACTTCTAGATACAGATTTTAGGAAAAGGAGATAGACAAGTAACAGAGAGGAGGTAGAGATAAATATGAAAGTGAAATGATGTCCACTGAATTAAAAAGAAAAATAAATTCTTAATGAGAAGGTGAAAGAGGACCACAGCCTGGAAAAAGACAAAAGGGTTATGAAAATAAACACTCTTGTAAAGTAATATTATATTGATGTCTTCTATAATGCTGACATCCATAAATACTTTCTGCCCAACCTCATGGAGGAGAGAATAGAAGGGAGATTTCTAAGAACCTATCTAAACCCCACTTACATTATGCATCCAAAGTATCTCCCCCCTGCAAAAAAACCCTAACAGATTTGTTTGCAAGAGAATAAATACAGTATTTGAATCAACCTGGAGTATGTAATTTTCCTCAGATTTTCTAAAAAGCAAAATAAGCCCGTTTCCAGTATTTTCTTTCAAGAACAGGAACTTGTTTTAAAAAGAGTTACTCCACAGTGATAAGTAAATGGTATATCTGGATTAATATATCAGCATGTCTGAAGATGAAAATAATAGATTATTTTTTTACCTCCTCCTACTCAAAGCTAATTCTTACTATATTTTAAAAAAATGCACATGAAAACTAAGTGTAGAAAAATGTGCCAACATTCCTCACCAAAAATAGGCAAAGAATGGGAAGATGAAATTTTAAGAGCAAATGGGGTATACCAGCTGTTCAGGATTTAGAAAGGGAACCCTTCCAGTCCTCAGAACAAAATGCATTACTTCTGTGCTGAGGGAGATTGAGCAGAATCAGGAGTTAAGCTGGGATACTTGGCAAGTGACCCTCCGCTCTTAACATGAGGTATGTAACCTACTGACCTTCACTAGAGGGACTGGCAAGTCACAGGCTAGACAGATAGCCTAAAAAAATTCTTGCCTAAAGCAGGAAAAGGTTTACCCATGGTCTGAAATATATTTATTTTCTTTCTGTTTGCCAGAGTGAAAAAGAGATACCTGAGGGGGGGACTTGAAATTTTTGCATCTTATATATTTCAATTGTTTTAACAACCAGATACAGTGTTTGGAAAATGGATTTTGCAGGCAAAAAGGTGGCAATGTCTAGTGTCATTGTATACAGTGGGGAAAACCTATGCCAATTCCAGACAGCTGAAATTGAAAAGTTAGAAAATTCCCAAAGCTCCATTAAATATTTACACTCAGTAAAGTATCTGCAGACAAACCAAAAGAACTGAGGACTTCCCGCTACGCCCTTTTAAAATATTCTTGGTAAGGAAAATCACTTTGGCAATATCAGAGTTCGCATTATACATAAAATCCCATTACATTATCACATGCAGTTTCCATGAAATTTTGTGCATCATTTACCTAATCAAAAATACAATTCCAAAGTGGTGCCATAAAATGATATGCTATTTGCTTTTGGTCTTTCTCCTTTAAGTGTCTCATCTCCATCTACAGACGTAATCAAATGTTATAATCAAAAGTTAATGATCCAGCAACAAACTAGAAGTCAACCTTATGCCATGATTGCAGCTAGAACAACCTATCGCATGGCTCTCTTTCTGCACCTAGATCACTTCTGTTGTGCAGATAGCATATTTACACAAGCTCAGCAGTGTGCTCTATCTAATCTTCTGCTCTCTCAACTTTAATTTGTAACAGAGCAATAATCTCAGATCTGTGCTAGATTAAAGTGGTTGCATCTATAGAAGAGTGTCTTTCTCCAAATATTATCTGAAGCAGTTAGTACTATAATTCCACAATTAATGCAGTTGATTATGTCTGGATATGTGATCAGGTCAACCGAATGTCACAGGCCATTTAAAAAAACTTCTAGTAGCTTGGTTTATGGATTGATGCAGGGGTCAAGGGAAAAAAAGTGTAAAATGTGACAATTCAGTAACAAAGTAGGTAAGAATCTTTTATTATTATTTAGTAAAAGAAGTAATTCTTTAAGATATTTCAACCAGGTGAAGGTACACATCTATGAACCATCATTATTACGAAGTGCTAAATTAGAGGAAAATAGTTACAACACAGACTTTATAATTTAAGACTAATTTATTCTAAATTTACCCAATGTTGTCCATTGTCCTGAAGCTGAGAGCAATTTCAAACTGGAGTTCACATTTTGGTCATTAAAAAATGCCTATAATATTCAAATAAGAGAATACAAGTTAATGAAATGAAACATAAAATCATCATTTATAGTGCTTTAGACACTTACAAAGCAAATTATAAGGATCCAATTAGTAAGTAGATTTTGTATGGTCTTTCAGTTTGGATACTAAATATCACACCACCAAATACATGTTTCTGTAACTTTGTGTAGCCGGTGTCTTTTAGCTATTCAGGATAACTTCATGTACATATTTATATATGCAATATTAAGGTTTTACAGTAAAGCACTTTTAGTCCAAGAACACACAAAAAGGTTGTATGAAACCCTTGGAGGTATAGAAAATGGAAGAGATGAAACAATTCTATCTCTGCATGCAATGTTGTTGGAAGTAAAAAACGAAATGCTAAGTATGCTTGTAAAATTTACATTTTGTAAATAAATTTGAAGCTTGGATAAGTGTAGAGACACACAAAAATTATTAAACAGATACAGAAGAAATCCATAAATTATTGAAGGGGTGGAGAAGATGTTCCACAGTAAGATTTGAAGTATTCAGTCTTCTTATCAATTAAAAAAAGGAGACATGCATAGTAATGTTTGTAGCTGACATGTTTAAATGATAGATAAGCCAATTAAGAAAATCCACACTGCATACAAGCAGAGTGAATAATCATTACAAGCTGCTAAGAAAATGATGGATTTTTCAGTCTCTGCATCACCAAATCTCTTTACCACCTCTCTGGGATACAGACAGATCAGACTATGTAATGTAATGGCCCCTTTGTTCTCAGTTAATTCACTGCCACTGAGAGTTCATCATCTCATAGTGATATTTTTACATTTTTAATTCAAAAGAGACAAGCATTGAGAAGGCAAACGCATATTTTGTAAACTTCAATCATTTGAAGTGTCATTCAGTGGGAGATGAAATATTGGTGGTTTTCTGTGTGAATTTCTTTAAAATACAGAGAGGCTGAATTCTTTATCCAGGATAACAATATAAAATAGACATACAGCAAATGAAAGAGTTGTTTTTAAAACAATAGATATAAAAACCATACTGTTTTTTAAACCACAGGTGGGTTTTTTTTCTATCTGCACATAGATGAACAGGTTTGACTTTGCACACAACAAAAGTGAAGGACACAAAATCAGCAAGAGGCTTGACTCTCAAAAAGCTGAGAGCCCAAAATTCCAGTATAAAGCAATGGTATCCAATAAACTTTAAAAATATTGTATTTTTAAATGTATGGTGCATATGCACATCTAATTGCACGGGTATTTACGGTAACAAAGAAGTAATAGCTGTGAACAAAGGTACCAACTGCATGTACTGTTTAAAGTCTCTCCCTGTGTGGGCTTCCCAACATCAAATGCAGTGGCCAAGATCAGCATCCAGTTCAGATTGCCATTCTTGGAAATCTTGAATGACTAAATTGTTCCCTCTTAAAAAAGAGTAACATTAGTACAGACTAAAATATTTTTACTGGACAATACAGTTAACCCACAAAGTAGGACTTGAGCACCCCACCTAAATCACCTACTTTCAAGGAGACAGTGTGCAGGAAAATAGCATGTTAACACTGCTACAATGCTTGCCATTGTGCAGTTTTCCAATAGCTATAATTCCATGAAAAAAAAAAAGTCAACCTAAAATATAAAGAACTTAGAAGTACCATAACAAATTCATCCTTTTGATAGGGCTTAAACTGCTGGTCAAAACCGAACGCTTGTGCTGTGATCCTGCCTTGCATGGACCTGAAATGGAAAAACGAGATGAAATATTCTGCAAACATACTAGGAACTTAGTCACTCTGCAAATTTGCCTACACTACATAAAGTCGTATTCTGACCAATAATTATATTTTTCTTTTTTTAAATTCTCACTTATAACCGCCTCCCACCACCACCTCCCCCCACTCGGAGGAGTGGGGGAGGCACAACCGCTGCTCAGGCGGCATCACAGCAACGCTGCGAAGCGACCATAGGCTCGGCTAACTCTGGAAAACGAGGATAAATGCCTTGCACCTCAGCACAAGCGTTTTACGTGCCGGAAAAATAACGAGGAGACTTCTAATTAAAGGGGGGGAAAAAGAGAGACACGGACCCGCACCACCACAGAGCGGGTGCCCTAAGGGCGCAGTGACGACCCCAGCCCTCAGCACCGCCCGCCTTTTCCCCTCCCGCCCGCCTCTTATCGCTCCCCACCGCCCGCAGAGAAGCGCCTCTCGCAGCAGGCTTTTCCCCTCGCACCATTTGAGGAATCTGTCCCGGATGTCCCTGTCCTCCAGGCAGGGGAAGGCTTTCTGGGGCAGGCAGCGGAA